GAAAGAAAAAGAAAATTAGTTTAATTGCAGATTTCTAAACTGGATTGAATAACTACCTCCTCCCACATGTATATCCCCTAACAACTCCAGAGTTTATATTTACCAAATTAAATGGATGAGCAATACCAGAAGTATTTGACTATTAATACACATAAAGGGCTCTACAAGTTTAGAAGATTACCCTTCGGTTTAAAAGTAGCTCCAGGTATTTTCCAACAAATAATGGATACAATGTTGGCAGTAATAAACAGTGACAGAGAGGGCAATGAAAATACAGCACGTAAAACTGATTCAGCAAATATTTCAGAGGCTGCATGATTACGGTTTCAAACTCAGTGAACAGAAATGTCAGTTCTGTATGGATAATATTAAATATTTAGTTCAGATAATCTACGAAAAGGGAAGAAGACTAGATACTACTACAGCAAGTGACATTAGAGACATCCGTCCCTCAACAAATTTGGTGACGCTACAATCATTTCTCACATTAGAAAATTATTATATGTTTGTGCCTGATAGGGACAAATTGTGAGCACCTCTAAATAATTTACTTAAGAAGGGCATGAAATGGAATTCTTCGGCGGAATGTCAAAAAACTTTTGAAAGCATTTAAAAAATATTAATTTCAGAGTTTTCGCTGACACATTAAGACCCACAGTGAATGAAAACTGTAGCGTCGGAGGCGAGCGAATACTGCATAGGATCGGAAATAGGCGATAAAGTCGAAGACAGTACAATGAAAGAGGTCGCCCACGCTTCAAGAAGTTTAACAAATACGGGAAAATGCTACAGTCAAAAGGTAGAGCTTGCGATAATTTATGCTGTAACTCAATTTCACAGGATGATAAGAAAAGAAAGAAAGAAAATTCATACTGCAAAGTGATCGTCGTCCATTATTAATTATATTCGGTCTAAAAAACGGGTTTCCAAGTATACTGCTAACAGATTACAGCGTTGGGCTACGAGTTTATTGAACTATGATTTCAAGATGGAATTTCTATCGTCAAATAAATTTGTGCATGCAGATGGCTTGTCCAGATTGGTATAAAATAGAAAGAAAATTTTGAAGATACTGTGAATCCGAAAACGAAATTAAAAGCCCGGTATACAACACTATTAAAGAATAGCCGGCACAGTAGACGATATCAAGATTCATCCTGAAAAGGATACGTTTATTTAAAAAACTATGAATGACGTTATGTTGAAATGGAGTAGAACTGAAATTAAACCTGGTAACAATAATACAGAATTGTCTACTTGTGATGGAGTACTTTTGTACGCGGAAAGAGTAGTATTTTCTTTATCGCTACAAAAGAAAAAAAAAAGATTTTTAAGCAATTCCACGTAGGAGATCCGGGAAAGATGAGGATGAAGTTTCGATGAGAAACTACGTTTATTAGCCAACGTTGGACAAATATATTCACTAATACAGATAATTCAGCAGCAAAATAATAAGCTATATATCATCAGGCATGGCCAAGTACTGATAAACTGTGTGCAAGATTACATATAAAATTTGATGTACCACTAAACGTTTCATACTACTTAACTGTGGTCGACATTTTGACAAAATGGCCCGAGATATTAAAGTGTAAACGACCTTCTACCGCAGTAACAATTAAATTCTTACATGAATTTTTTGCAACGTTTAGAGTAGCTGACTGTGTGGTATCCGATTATGGAACTCAATTAACGTCTAGTGAGTTTTTAAAATTCTGCAAAAGCTACGCGGTTGAACATCTGACAACGCCGATTTATCATCCGAAGTGGAATGGTCAAGCTGAGCAGTTTGCTGAAACCTTAAAAAGGGCATTAATAAAATCTAAATTCTAAATGCTTGGAAGCTGAAGAAACGGTACCACAAATTTTTTTTGAACGTAAGACATCTAATGAATATTTCACCGCGATATTGTCATCTGCAGAGCTCACGTTTTCTAGGAAAGTTAGATCCATTTTTGACAAATTACTGCCAGGGAATAAAACAGAATGTCAATAGTTTGAAACTACATAATTTAAGATGAACAATAAAGTCTGCATTAAAACCCTTATTAAACTCATATCCATACGACAGAATATGTTAGCTCTGTCACTGATATTGAGCGCTTTTCAATAAGTACTGCGTATATAATATATATATATATATATATATATATATATATATATATATATATATATATATATATATATATATATATATATAAATATATGGATATAGATCCAACAGTATGAAGAAAAAATATACGGAAAAACCAACGAAAATCCTAATATGCAATTATGCTGTTTTAATTCAAAATACTCAAATTTTAGGAATACGTTTTCACAACATCGCCCACGAGACGACGACGTGATCATATTTAAACGGAACGCTGATCTTACAAAAGATTTCAGTTATCTGTTTGGATTGGTCTTACTCTTATGTCCATCGTCTTTTTCATGTTGAATTGAATATGGTCTATGTTAATTATGTTTTATGAATATGCCCTGAAGATGGTCTATTAGACCGAAACGTCCGACGTTGACATTATATTAACATTAAGACAGCATAATTGCATATTAGGATTTTTGTTTGTTTTTTCCGTATATTTTTCTTCATATATATGTATGTATGCATGTATATATAAACACGCATACACGTATAAATGCGCCGTACTTATTGGAAAGCGCTCAATATCAGCGATAGAGCTAATCTTACCCATACAACTTATCTCTCTCTCTCTTTCTATCTCTCCATATATATATATATATATATATATATTCATAGAAAATACTCCTATAATAACCTCATCTATATGTATAAAAGGTTAAAAATAATGGAAGCCTTAATAAATAAAAGAAAAAGTTAACACTCAATAATATCAACTGTGAACACGGCCACAACGTGCTAACCATGTTTAAAAACTAAAAAACATGTCCATCACTTTATAACATATATAAAAATCTACATAATCAGTTAAAAAATATACTTGATAATGGCTAATAAAATAGCCGAAAGCGCACAGATATCTAGAACATTTGCACAATACTTACACACTTTTTTGTCCATAAAGAAAATACTTGTATGAATGCAAGAAAAATTCAATGATAATATTGGTTTTAATAGTATTTCTTGCTATTAATATACTTGATAATGCGCTTTTAGAAACAAAATTAGCTTAGCCTTATAAGACTTTTCCTCTAGAAATACGCAGGTCGACCGTTTTTATCTACCAATCTAGTTAATTACGATTTATTAAAATATTGCCACATACAGGATTATATGATATATAGAGATTAACCGCAGTGATTTTAGTTATTTATATAAAGAGAAACGACTGAATTAGTTATTAAAGCAATTTCTATTCTTGAATATAATTAGAGACTAAGGCGGTTTTTTCTAGGGTGTACATCTATCTACGAATATATATATATATATATATATATATATATATATATATATACGTACTGACAATTTTATAACATATATACGCATGCGCACATCTGAAATAAATAGGAAATAACTGTGTAAGAGGATACCATAGAAAATGTCTGTAAGTAATGAGAGAGCATTCATGTTAAGTAAGCCAAGAAAGCTTCTAACATAAGCTGAAATCGACAGGTCGCGCCCTTAAACAAGACAAACTTCTTTCTTTCTTTCTTTCATCTTTCTTTCGTATTTTTTTTCTGTGTCAGTGTCAGGAATGCTACGGAAGCTGTGAGGTGATTGGGAGGAGGAAAAAGAAAAACAAGTTGGGGTGGTAAAGTCAATGTGTAGGAGTAAAGAGAATAATTAAAAATGACCCGAGAAAAAAGAAAAAAAAAAGTTGGTGGTACGAATTAAATAAACCGAGGAAAGAGATAAAGAAGAAATACTAAATATAATGAGAGGAACATTAAAAGAGACAAAGATGAACAAGAGAACGAAAGACGGAAGTATAAGAAGAGGAACGAATAAAAACGATGATCCGATCGGAGGAAATGTACACAAAAGCAAGATAGGGTAAAAAATTTCCGTTCAAAATTATTAAGTAAAATTAACCATCGGAATAGCATAGCAGAAGGATTAAAAAAAACGAAAGAACCTGTGTAGATTTAGATGAAAATTCATAATTATCCTACATTTTTTACTCGATAGAAGTTCTACGCGGATAGAAATTCAGAGATACTTGCCAACAACGACAGACATCAGACAAAAGCCACTAGTCCCCAACCGATTTTGGGCCATGCCCCACTTTGATATTTCTTAAATTCTGGTGTTCCCTTGTAATATTTAATTGTATATACTCAACCCCCCAACGAGGTCAGGTTGTGACACAAGGTCGGTTTAATGTGGGGAGCCCGAGCGCGTACACCTGGGCAAGGAATAAAAATTGCCAGCAGCCCCAGCAACCGTCGGTTTCGTTGGCCTCGGTGCGAGAACGGATCCTTCTCTAGAGTGCAATGAGAGGGCGCGGCCTCGGGTAACTCTTCCCCAGTGCCGGCACCTCTCAGTATAATTTTCCGCAGTTGCGACTCTGTCCTTTGACGGAGCGCACTCTACCCAAAGAGTATTAAACTTTGATCCCGGAATTCTTAGATATTCAAAGTTTTACGGCAATTCACAAAAGAAAGATTAAAAGTTAATTAACTTGGTTTCTTAACAAGTCCCCAAAGACCATGACGTCCATGAAAGAGAAAAATTTAAAAAAAAACAACAAAAGAAAAAGAAAGTTAAATATATATAGTTTTAAAGCATATAATAGAGAATTAAAAAGGCAGAAATATAAAATATTTGAATGAAAGCTTATTCTGTAATATACTTTGATCTTTTTAATCATGAAATAATAATGCAAAATGAAATTACATTTCACGTTGATATAGTAAACTGAGGTGTGCACATTCTACGCATGTCCCACCAAAACATTTCTCTGCCCCAGAGGTGGGCCGTGCGCCTCCTGTTGGGAATCATTGATTTAGACAAAAGTTCTAGTAAATCAAAAATATTCAAAGAGAACATTATCGATTACACCGTACGCACAGACAAGCTTACACCACCTGATATTCCCAAGCGACCACCCATTTAGGCACTGGCCTGTTTCGACGTTGCTTAACTTCGCTGATCGAACGAGAACCGGTGTTTCAAAATAATACGGCTCTAAGTAGAAATTATTTAAAATTAAAATGAAAAATAAATTTTTGGCGTACAAGACAAAATTTCGAAAACAAAGAAAAATTTATCTTAATCGACACGTAAGTGAATATGAATCAGTTATGTGCCATACATTAGACGCGCTTAGGCGATCATGTATCTTCTGATACATGATTGACGAGGCAGATTTTTTCCCGCAGTAGGTTGTCATTTCTTTCTCTAGTAGATCAGTTAACACCCAAGGCTATAAAACTCGATCTGTCCTGCTATTTATCCATGGCTGTGAGAGAAGAAGAGGATTCATACCTTTCACAAGGGTATGAACACATAAGTGAATATCTGTCACTCATGTGCCATGTGTGATAAACGCTTAGGCGATCAGATATCTTCTGATACATGACTGACGAGGCAGAATTTTTTTCCTGCAGTATGTTACCATTTTTTTTCTGCGGTAGATCAGTTGACATCCAAGGCTATAGTACACAGTTTGTCTTGTTATTTACCCATAGCTGGGGGAGAGAAGTAGAGGAGTTATATCTTTCCCAAGAGTATCAGCACGTAAGTGAATTAATTTAGTGGGATTCGAACACGAGACCAGAGAAAAGAAAAATTTACAAGCCAGTTGGTAAAAATGAATGACGGGCGTTACGAATAGGAAGAGTAATTATTTACATTATTTGCATTCGGACTATTGTCCCAGTATTCGGCTTTCTTCAGATGACATTAGCCTAGTGGATTAAATATTTTTTTCGTAAATTTGGTGCAATAGTTATTGCGAGTTCAATCCCGATAACGGGGAGTGCGGATTAAGATTCAGTGCAAACAGGAAACATCCATAACTGAGCAGTACCAACAAAAACAAAACGTGATATTTCTAAATAAAGACTGGGAAAAAATTGATTCCAGTAGATTAAATAAAGGATTTAGTTTGAATTTCTTAGAAAGTGACACAGATCGGAAGACACCGGAAGAATGCCGAAAGGCACACTGCCCAAAAAGATGTGAGAGTAACAACAAATATTATGGCATTATTCGGAATAAAGTTAATAATAATTCATAACCGCACAAATTCTGACAGTAACTGCGACTGTCTGACAAATATTCTAAATTTCAGTCTCGATTAAAGAATTTAAAAAGAAATTTAAGTGTACATCGAGATTTCGAAGCCATTTCTTACAAACGAATCTATCTAGACTTCATATCTCTAAGAATTTATCTGGTGGTTGATATCCGCAACTTGTTGCCATTTTAGATGGTTTGAATATCTTTCAAAAATAATAATAGCCTCAAAACAGCATTGGTAAGTCATAAGTAAGTTAAAAGACTTATATATATTTGAAATTTAGAGAAAGCGAGTTTAAGATTAAAAATATTCCCAAAAATTAAGATAAAACATTCAGTTCAGATGCAACTAAAGAAGCAATTATAAAAGTTTTTGCAAGTTTTATTCTTTTTATTCTTTTATCTTTCTTCTTATTCATTTTATTGCTATTCATTTTATTAATTCTTCTTAATACTTGTTTCCAAGCTATCATTGAATTCTCCAAATGAGAAATAATACTGAATTCTCCTTTATATATATATATATATATATATATATATATATATATATATATATATATATATATATATATATCGTGCCTTTGATCACATATCTGTCGGATTTAATCAGTTTCCTATATATACATACATACATACACACACACACACATATATATATTTGTGCGTGTTTGTGTGTGTATATATATATATATATATATATAAGAATGTATATGTATGTATATAATGTGCATATGTATATATATATATATATGAATATGCATATATATATATATATATATATATATATATATATATATATATATTTTATAGATATATGCACATATATATAGGCACATATATATGCATTTGAACCATTTCCTATCATATATATATATATATATATATATATATATATATATATGTGATAGGAAATGGTTTAAATCCTACAGATATGTGTATAAAGACACTAGTGAGGCTTTTTTTTTCTCAGGATGTCTTATGTGGCTAAATTGGTCTTAGGCGCGTCAGATCTCTAATGAAGCTTTCCACTAGGCGATGCAAGATCGAATCCTCCCGGAGAACGCTTATTTATCGAACAAAATTTCTCAACTATGAATATACATCTAAAATAACGTTTAATATATATATATATATATTGTTTATTTCGGCAGCAATCCTTCATTTATACATGTTTCATTAAAGACGACAAGGTACTGCCAATGAGTTTTTACTTAATTTTTCTTGTGTTCGAAATGTTTTTTTCTTTTCTGGACACGGAGTTTGTAGAAACTGTCCAAATGTTCTTTAATTTCGAGCTCATTCGGTTATGTTTCTAGAGTTATAGGGATTTTTTTTTATTTTCTGAATAAGGATAACACATTGTGGCTCAGTTCGTAGTTAATATTATTGAGTTTTTTTTTATTAAAGCTTCCAATATTTCTCAACTTTTTTTTATACATGTGGATGAGGTAATTATGTTTGTGTTTTTTACTAGTCTGCTGTATGAGACTCCTAGTCGCGGTATCGATGATGGATATTAGGTATATTCAGAATCGAGCACTGGATTTATAACACCTGTGGAAGAAATAGTTGTATAAGTAAGTGCAACTTTACGTGCGTGTATATATATTTTTAACCAACAAATACCCATATACATAACAATATATGTATGTGTGTTTGCGCGTGTGTGTGCGTGCGTGTGTGTAAAATTTCGTATATATCTGTAAATGGACAATATTGAACAAAGACAAATGAAAAATTATCTCAGCCGTTTCGTTCTCTGAGGACTTTATATTGTCCAACCGAGCACGAAACGTATCGGCTGAGGTAAGTATTCCTTTAGTCTTAATATATATATATATATATATATATATATATACATGTGTGTGTGTGTGTGTGTGTTTGTGTGTGTATTTGTTTAGGCAGCCAATTCTCTTTTAGGCATGTCTGATTGAATAAATTACAGACGTTTTGCATGCTAATTTTTAATAATCCTTTCATAATCACGTATAACCTTAGTGTATTGATGTTAAAGGATGAGAGAAATGTGCTATAGTTGTTTAAATTTCTTTTACTTTCATTTCCCAAGTACTTTCGATCTTCTCCCAAGATCATCTTCAGTGGTGCAAATAGTACAAAACTATATGTTTTTCATTAGTATAAGTATATATACAAAGTTGTGCATTGTTATATATTACCTTAATTTTTTAATTATGCTTTTAAATGCAAAATGGTGGTTGACAATGTGCTGGGCGTTCATTATGGACTTTTTTCGTATATGTTATAATGTCATGGTCACGACCGCATTAAAGCGTGAAGAAACTCTCAGTTTACAGGCATTTCAGAACATTACTGGGTATTCATAGTTGATTCTGTTCAGTACCGGCTGCAATTTTTTAATATAAATTGCTTCTAGTATCTGTAATCTAAATTTGTTGTGTTCGTCGTGTAGGATAGTTGCATTGCCGATTAGTATTTTTTTATATTGTGAATATGAACTTTGGAAAGATTTTTGGAGTTTCATAATATTTTCATGTATTTAACTAAAATAAGTACATAATCTACATATCTTATGAAGATGGAGTTTTTTTTTTTTTTGTGGCACTAAATATATTATTTACTAGGTTGGCCATGTAGAAGTTGCTGAAGATTGGACGCGAAACTGAATCGATTGAAACGCCATCACGTAGCACATATATGTTATTTCTGTGATCACACACACACACACACATATATATATATATATACATACACACACAAATATATAAATGTTTAAAGATAAAAAAAGCTTAAGTGTTTAGGATTTGTTCTGATTTACTTTTTACAAATTATATATATATATATATATATATATATATATATATATATATATATATATGTGTGTATCTGTATATATGTGTGTGTGTATATACATTAATGCATATATATATGAATATATATATAAGCCTATATGCGTGTATATATATACGTATGTATGTATGCATATATATACATATATATATGTGCGTGTGTGGATGTGTGTATGCATATATATATATATATATATATATATATATATATATATATATATATATATATATATATATATATACAATAATAACAAAAAATTTCAAAATTGCAATATCAACTCTGGTAAAAGGTTAAGTTTAAAAGTCCCAAAATTCATTCTTTGGTGTCTTCAAGGACACATGAACATAGCAATATACCTCATCTCAGAAATAGAGATTGATATAAGTATTTTATATTTTATATATATATATATATATATATATATATATATATATATAAATCAAATGAGAAATCAAACAGTCAAATGTATCGCCTGAGAAGTGGACGGAACTATTGCTGGATGATCCTTCTATAAAACTCTAGATTTGCTATGCTGACATAGCAAAGTGACAACTATTACATTAATACTATATATATATATATATATATATATATATATATATATATATATATATATATATATATATATATATATCATATATTTGTATATTGTGTTTGTTTAAAGACAAACGAATATTTTTTTTGTTAGGATTTTTTTATTCATTTTTCTATAATTTGGACCATGTATTTTTCTTTAAAGTAGTCTTTTAACGATAAATTTTGCAAAGTACATGTATTTTGTCAATACACACAATCTATATACATATATATATATATTTCATAGTATATATATATACATACATACATACATACATACATACATATATATATATATATATATATATATATATATATATATATATATATATATATACCGCTTATTTTCTCCCTTTTCCTTTCTTTCCTTCCTTTACTTTTATATTTCCTTTAAAAAAAAACAAAAAAAATACAAAAAAAAAACGTGTATTTGCATTGACAAGTCCAGAGAATTTTTTTCCCGAGGACGGAATGGCCATCTGTATGGGGTAATTTATTTGGATTTCATTCATTGTAATTCTCACACA